TTTGCAAGTCATCTTCAGTCTTCACAGAAGAGTAGTGAAGCAAGAGCAAGATCAAAGTTTGATCTCCACGAAAGAGTAGTGGAACGAATCTCCCAACAAAGCAAGAAGTTCACTCGATGAAAATTTCTTGTCTTTCTATCTTTGCTTTATTCTTGTTTACACAAAAATAAGTAAAGAGGGGTAGCTGTCGATAACAGTTTTCGTCTGAGTGACGTTTATATTATATATAATAATATTATTATATATTATTATTATTATTATTATTAAATAATAATACAAATGGAGGCCCATTTACAAGAGTAAGGCATGGTTACAAAGCAAATCCAGGCTCGGTTACAACCAAACCTGATCCTGATCCAACTATAGGCCCAAAACCAATTTAACCCGAGGAGCCCATCAAGCAGCTAGGGTTCCCCCCTATTCTCTCAATCAGCCGCCAGTAACCATCACCGTTGGATCTGGAGGGATCCAACGGTCCACAACTCATCTAGAAGAAACCTTAGGGTATCATAACCCTAGGGCTATGATTCGGCCGTCGTCTGCAAGTGCTCCAACCGCCTGCTGCCACGGCGCCACCGCCTCTCCAGATCTCTCTCAAAGATTCCAGAGACCACACAAGAGCCGTATAACGCATCACTCTATGGTGAGTCACCACCATAGGTTTGGTGACTCACCGGTAGGGATAATCATTTTGGTCGGTTTTTAGGGGCTATATAAACCCCGACCCTATAAGAAAATGAACATGAAGCAACAACAAGAACAACGAAAAAAGAGAGAAACATCAAGAGAGGGAAAAAGCAAACAAATCAGAACCATATATGAGCCAAGACAGAGACAGATGATAGCAAGCAACCATCACATCAAATAAAGAAGAAGAATCGTAGGATATTTACCCTTGCCGAAGCCCAAAAGTCGTCAAAAAGTAATTTTACCGAAGGTAAAATCTTAGATTTAGGCTTATTTAAGGGTTTTTAGTAAAAGAATAAGTTGGATTCGGAAAGAGGGAAACCCGATCTATATTTTAGGGCAGTTTGGTATTTTCCGACCAACATGGGTGGTAGCCGATGGTGGCAGATTGCGATGGTGAATGGCTATCGATCGGTGACCGACTTTCCTCTGATGGAGGGTTTTTAGAGAGAAGGCAGAGAGAAAAAATTATCTCTTTCTTTAGAGAGGGAGAGGAGAAGAGAGAAAATGGTGAGAAATGGCCTTAATGGTCGGGTTAGGATTTATTTATACCCTCTTCAAAACTACATCGTTTTGGGGAGGGGCTTCTGGATAATTAGTGTATGGGCAAATTACTTTTGTGGGTATCGATGCATCTGAAAAGTTAAACACTGTATAAGTGTAACTACCCTACCCCTCAGTTGAGACTTTGTGAAATGACATTTAAATAAAAGATTTTTGTGAAAGAATTTGATTACTTATGACTTATAGATTATCAGTTTGAAGGACCAACACAATGATTGGTGTTTGAGTTAAAAAATGATATCACGTATTCAAGGAATATTTATAATATAACGTCTCAATTCTTGGGTTAGTAGTTTTGGGCTAAACCGAGAGGACCTTGGGTAAACCCAATAGCTTGGTAGGAAGCCTTAGACCAAATATGAAATAAATTGGGCTTGAGTTGAGCCCAAAAGGAATGAAAATATAGATTTTTGCATTTAGGCCAATTATGGAAGGACTAAAGTTACAGTTAACCCATAAAATTGAACAAAGTTGATTCTCATTAAATGGGATTATGTCATTCATGTTGGAATCATCCTTATCTTTGTCTCATTTATCTCTTTCAAAAATACTCATTTTCTTCTCTTCTCTAAATCAATCAAAGGAGATAGCTTTATAAGAAAGGATTTCCTTACTCAATCAAAGAATGCAAGTTAGGTAATCTCCTCTCTTAGAGCTTTATTTCAAGCCCTCCACTCCACAAATGGTTGTGGTGGCCATGGAGGAGGTTTAGTGGGGGTTTTAGGTTTTAGAACCCTAAGATGATTCTAGCTCATTTTTACATTTAGAATCATATTTCTATCTTCCCTAAGCTCTTTAGACGAGTTAGTAACTCATTTCGTTGCTTGTGATTAGTAAAAGAAGTGGGAGAGAGTTCCAAAAGAAAAGGCAAAGAGAAGTTTGCTCTTAAGTGAGCCTTAAGTTGAATCTCTAGCTTCTAATAGAAAGGTAACACATTTGTAACCCTCCTCTATCACTTGTAGATCAACATGTGCAATTTTGGTGGTTGTATGAGTGTATTAGTCATTTGGGTGCATTTTGAGTTCATATCATGGAAATGAGTATTTGGTGTTATTCATGCATAAAGTAATGGTCTTCATGATCTTATAATCATACATAAGCTTTAATCACTGTTTGGGGTATTGGGGATTCCTTAAGAGTATTTTGGGAGGTTTTAGACAAGAGAAATAGAATTTTCTGGGTTGAGGGTGTCAGTACTATATGAACAGTACCGAAACGACTCATCGTAAATGAGCAAAATTTAAAAGGTTTGTGAGGAGAGTATCGATGCCCCTTCAAGATGTATCGATACTACTCTTGTGGTTTCGATACTTAAAGGCCTAGTATCGATGCTTGGGGACTTGGTCAGATTCCATTAACCAATTTTGGTATCGGTACTGATTGGAGTATCGATACTGAGGGTAGAGTATCGATACTCCTAGTAAGGGTATCGATATTGAAGTATTTTTCAAAACATCGAAAACAATTTTGGTATCGGTACTCATGGGAGTATCGATACTGAAGAGGGAGAGAATCAATACTCTCAAGATGAGTATCGATACTGAAGCTTTTTACAGAACATAGAATGTAAATTTGGTACTTATAGTTGAAAAGTATCAATATCTTAGGAAGAGAAGTATCGATACCCAAGGAGTACTGATACCATCGAGAATATTTGGACAATAAGTCTAGCTTGGGTTTGAGAGGTGAAAATGGGGTTTATATTAAGGGGAACATTTCAATAAGCTTACAAGTGAGAACCTTAATCAATTGTGTGATAACTTAAGATCTTAATGACGTAAGATTTCATAAGACTTATGCATATGTTTGATGCCCGAGAAACGACGAGGACACCCGAGTCACTTTTGAGTTGGTTGTGTGGTAGAATAAGATTATCTGAATATATCCAATCTAGCACTCAAATCGCTAGTTGAACCTGAGCTGATGCTAAGTGACCCAGACGCGTTCTGAGTACTCCAGAGGAGTAGACTAGCTTAACAAGGTGTCGATGCTTTGTGACCCATACCTACCCAAGGTTCTGTAGGATTCTGAAGCTATGTGACCAAGATCCTACCTAAGGTACTTTTAATAAGAAAATAGGGGTGTGAGTTTTGTGATGCTATATTAACCCCGAGCTACATTATGATGCTTACTTTTGTTGTGTGAGAAATATATGCATGATTCATAACTATGCATGTGACATGCTCATATGTTGAATGCATGTAGTATAGTTGGGTTATTTGTGTGACACTGAGCTTGTGAGCTTAGTGTATGAAATGTGTTTCCGCGCGCAGATTCTTAGGTGCCAGTTGAGGAGTTCGTCCCCAGATTCAGGTTTTTTAGACTTGATCATCTTTCAGAGTACGTCTCGAGTATTATAGTGGGCATGTACTGTCATAGACTCTATTGCATTATTGAGTCGTAAACTCTATTTTTATTATATATTTTGAGGTTATTGTCGGGAGCTCTTTGTATTTTGTAAACATTTTTTATACTTGGTATTTTATCTTATTTTGAATGAATGAGTGTGTTAAACAATTTCAAAAGAAATGGTTAGCCACTAAGTGGTTCTATGTAATACGTTAATCATTTGCATTTCAGGTCGGACCAGATTTAGGTGTTACATATAAGATTGAGTATGGTGTATAATTTTGGGATCTTAGTTTAGTTGCATGTCGAGTCCACCTTAGTTTGGTGCAACACCTTGAACCTCGAACACCTAAATTCGACTGAGTGTGGTTATCTTGAATAATTTTTTTTTAATTTTAATTAACATTAAAATTATTTTCGGTATATAGAAGTATTCGACTTATTTTCTAAGAAATTGAATATTTTGAATGTGGTATTGAATATTTTACGAATTACATTATGTTGAGTATTTCGTAATTCATTGTTGAATATCGAGTGGTTTATTATTATTAATATATATATAAGTTAAAATGATTATATTATATTACTATAAATGTTTAATTGCTATCAATATATTTTATAAATTAAATGCGAGTGATGGATGAATAGTGTGATTGAAAGATGGATTGAAATATATTTATATATGTATATTAATATTATTCAAAATTATTAGAAATCATAAAATTGAAGATATTTTGGGGAAAATCTCGATTTTGTGACATTCATCAATGGTGGGTTTTGAATCTTGAAGAAGATGAATGAAAATGATGGACCAAAGTTGATAAATTTAGTGGCTAGGAAGATTTAAATGAAATTGGTGTTTATCATTTTATAACAATAAAAGCATATGATATATATATTCTAATAATTTGACATAACACATGTAAATTCACTAACTTCAGTTTAAGGTCTAATTACCATGCCAAGGTTTATATGTTTCAAACTTCTTAGTTTGGAATTACGTTGTCAACTCACCTATTAGAGTACCAATTAAAAATTCGAGAAGAACAATCAATCAAGTTGATGAACCAAAATTAATGAATACAAATTCTAATATTTTTAAATTAATAAAATTTATAATTGTCATGTTGTAAAAAAATTTGAATTTAAAATTTGAAAATGTCCATGCAGGCCGCTCCTTCGATTAAATATTAAAATTCTTCCATCCAAAGGTGTCCTTCGATTATATATATATATATATATATATCAACCCATTACAACATATTTTCATACATGAATTTTTATTCAAACATACTCAAACTCTTTTTAATTATACATGAATTTTTGAGTCCTAACATGCTCCAAGAGCTTTGACTTTAAAAATAATAATATTGATAAAAAGAAATTGAATAAGAAAAAGACAACAAAGAATATCTTAATCAATACCCCACTTAAGCCATGAACATTCATTGTGTAGAATGGATTGGAGAAGGAAGAGACACTGTCAAAACACAACTTCCTTTCCGTTTCTTTCTCTTCGTTGTTACTTCAGAGCATCAGGTCGTCTTTGTCGAGCGAATCCCGGCTGCATTTGTCATAGAAGAAAGAGAAAAGAAAACTCATGTATGGAAGAAAAAAATGAATGCAATGCCGCTCAGATTGAACCTACTCACAACGAAAGAAGTCTCATGGTGAAAAAAAATATTGTACCTGAGGTAGCATGGAGGGGGCTGCAACAGGTTCCGAAACGACATGGCTTCTAGTTTTTCTTCCATTGAGTCTAGTGACTGATGGGCTGTTAGCTGTTGTTATATCCCAGAAGCTTCTTTTTTTGGCTGTGGGAACCGGTGATCGAAAACGATGACTTGGGCTCTTCAACTCCCCAGGGTTTGGTTCCTTCGGCCGCAAGCTAGCTCTTGTGCCAACCTTCTTCGCACCTACTTCTGATGTTTTATCCTTCTTTCTCGAAAGCTCACGAATGATATCATCTTTCTGCTTTAACTGTGCAGCATGCTCTTTCTTCATTCTCGACATTTCAAGTTCCAATGCCTTCACAGTCAGTCTAAGCTCTTTAACTGCTTCTTCCTCTGCCATTTTCATGGATTCGGGTGTGAAGCAGTTTCGGGTTAAGAAGGTGGACCTAGGTTTGCATTTCTCTTGTTGCTGGGCCATCAATGGAGTTGCTAGACATGTAACCGAAGAAGGGGTTGGAGAAGCATATGCAGCCAAGGATTGTGCTTGAAGGGTTACCAACTTTTGCTGTTGGCACTGTACTCGCAATTCACGATTCTCCTTCTGCAGTTCAAGCAGAAACTTTGCCGGATTCGTTCCGGTTTCAGGCACTTCAATTACCTCCTCGTTTGCCTTACATGCCTGCAAAAGTTCAAGGAATACGGTGTTCGAAAACGTAAATTAGCATGAAAGGTGGTGACTTCATTATAGGAAAATGAGTGAAGATCGACTATAACCTTGGTTTGGATTTCCTTTGCCCGATAAGCCCAGTGTAGGGTATTTTGTGTTTCACCAAATGAGAGATTGTTTGGACTGATGTTAGCAATCATTACAGTGTTACAAGCTCCACTTAATGAGTCTTTCAAAAGCTGAGTGAGTTTCGAGTTTCTGTACGGTATGTGTTTCTTACCCTCAACAAGGGCATTGATGCAACTGCTCAGTGCAAGAAGTGACCGGTTAATGTTCGCACCCTCCAACGATCTAAGTGTTCTCTGATCCGTTGCGAGGGCTCTTTCAGATCCAGCAAGATCTATGAGTGAAAGCTTTCCAACTCTACTGATGATATTCATCGAAGCATCTTTGACTCGATATTCAACCACAACCTACACGAAAAGCAACTCATGTTTATAAGAATGTCATAACATTAGAATAACAAAGCAGGTAATTTAGCCCCATATCATTACTGGTACCTGAAGAATTGCATGGGACGGTGAAGACGTTTCATTTGCGGTGTTTATAAGAATGTCATAACATTAGAGGAATAAAGCAGGTAATTTAGCCCCATACATTACTGGTACCTGAAGAATTGCATGGGACCGTGAAGACGTTTCATTTGCCCGAGTTGGTTCAGTGGTTCGGTTTTGGTTTCCTCTTTGAAGCAACGCCATCACCTGCCACAGCCAGGTAAAACATTCCATTCAATCAATTGTCTAATCCTTCTAAAGTGTCGTAATTAATAAAAGTCGGAAGCTTACTTCATCAGCGGAATAAGCCCTGTATCGTGTAATACCTGCTGCAACAATTCCCTGCATTATATTTGAGTAAACACTTTACCGAGGTGCAATCAAGGCAGTTAAAACTGAAAAATAAACAACATATAGAAGACTATTAATGCCATTCATAAAATTGTTTTGTGTTCGGTAACATTTCCTTGTACCCAAAACATCGGCTATTCATATGTTATGAACTGAAGCAGTATATATATGCCGGAAGTAGAAAGCACCTGCTTATCCTCTCTCAGGACAAGTGGTCTTCCGGGCGAGAGTAAATCCCGGACGGTTTCGTTGTAGACCTCAAGATAGGAGAGATGAACTGCATGGTTTCCATCAAAGCTCCTCTTCCTAATGTTTGTAAACACATCTTTGATAGCCAAAACCATCACACCTGGGTTTTCCAAGGTTCCTAGCATTGTATAAGTTTTCCCAGCTCCTGTGGCACCATAGCAGAACACCGAGCCATTCTTTCCCTGTAAAACTGCTTCTACAAGCTCTGCAGTCCTGAAAGTTCACAATTGATTCATTAAAAAAAACTGATAACTCAGATTCATTAAATTCCATGAATGTTGAGACCTAAGTTGGGTTGAAGTTTCAAACAAAATTAACAGCAGAACTTTCCTACATCAAAATCCTATCTTCTTTATTGGTAAATTAACAAATGCAGAATCTAGACGAAAAGGCGTCGTTTCTCTGCAACAAGCACATTTTGGATGTATAAACTATTAATTGAAAACAAGTACAATAGTTTCGATACTCGGTCAGATTCACAATCAGGAAATTCCATATAAAACTTAGATAAATCCCTTTCTAAATAGATGAAAATTTTCCTAGCTTCCAAAGAGGAAAAACAGAAGCAAATGAAGCAATGTAAGTGCACGTCATATCAAAATGGATTAATGCATATAACTTTGGCCTTTGGGGGGGGCTATGATATACTTACGTGGTTGAATAAACTTCATGTTGAGTAGCAGAATCCGGGAATGAAGCATCAAAACTAAAATATCTGCCTCTAAGCCTCTTCAGTCTAAGATAATCATTTTCATTAGCAAACTCAGTCAAGTAAACATCTTTCTTATTCACAATCTTGACACAACATCTTGAACCACCTTCCTTTTCCTTCTTTGCCATAGGCCTAAGCCTTACAAACACATGAATCCTACTCTCATTTCCACCAATTCCCCCATTTTTCTCAGTGTTGGCATTGCTCTCCATTTTCTCTAATTCTTGAACGTTCCCTGCCCCCAACATCGACAGCTTCCTCGCCACCGCCATCGGTTTCGCCATCTCCGTAGTCGTCGTGGCCGTTGCCTTTCTTGCACAAGAAGAGAACCCAAGAATCTTATCAGTACCAATCGAAAGATTCTCCTTTGCATCATCCAACGGTGGTAGAGGCAACACAAAAGTTCTAGTCACTGTCGGATTAGCCATGAATTTGGGATCTTTTTTCTCTTTCTCCTCTTTCCTCTCTTGTGTTTTGCAAGAAGGGAGAAGATGAGCAGTTGGGTGACATGTAAAACCCTGCTCCAGATGATCAGATTTTGGGTTATTGTTTCTCAGAATTGCAGAAGCTTTCTTTTGTTGCTCATATAAAAGAGTTAAAGCTCTCATTTTTTCCTTCAACCCATGATGTGGATTCCTCGGAGTAAAATTGTTAGTGACATTGTTCATCTGGCTTTCTTCATTTGATCTTCTGCTTCTTTGCCGTTCTTCTTGGCTGTTGATCTGAAACCTTGTTGATACCGGCATTATATGATTTTCTCACTATCCAAACATACCCAAAGATGGGACTTTTCTCCAAAGACAGACCCAATCCAACAAAACTGATGAAAATAAAAAGAACGTAGGGAAATTATTTTTCCTGGGAAAAAAACAAGTTTAGAAAATGACTGAGTTTAGAGAATAGAAAGCTAAATGAACCCTTACTAAATCAGGAGGAACTTGAAAGAGAAGGAAAAGATTCAAGGATTGGGATATCAACGGTTGATCTTAATTAATTAAAGCTTGGTAAATTACTCCTTTTTTATACTGAAAAAAAAGCTATCACTCAATTTTCAATTTTTAAAATTGTTCCAATTTGATTGATTTATACATTTACTAAAAATTAATTACATTCTTAACTTCAATCCGATACCCCATTATTTAAATATTTTGGGTTGGAGTTTGAATTAATTTTTTTAATGCTAAATTTTCCATTTATATACACGTATATAAAATAATTTAAAAATCCATTAAAATTATAAACTATGCAAATCTAATAGTAAAATACCATAAATTAAATGGTTGAAAGTACATGTATTATTGTATCTGGTACTAATTTACAAATAAATACAAATATTAATTGATACCAACTCAAAAATAAAAATTGATATAAATATGTGAAAAACTTTTATTAAATAAATTATATTTTCCTTATTTTTGGTATATTCCTTTAATTCAAATAGATCTACCTAAAAGAAAATACATCTCAAATTTAAGACTGCATAACAATTTGAAAATGAGAATGGCCACATATAACGGTCTAAAATACTGTCAGAGGGGCCAAACGGTTAGATATTTTTTATATAAAAAAAGTAGGTCCCACTTTAACATATCCCAACGTAAAAAAATACTGTTAGAACTAGGTCTTTAAATCAAGATACCTTGATCTTCGGGTAGTTGATTGATCACCCGGCATTCGGACTCGGATATTGTGGGTATCCGATAATCGGATACTTAAATTTTTTGAGTACCTGTAATTTGGGTAATCATGTGTTTGATTTTTTTATCAATTTCAAATTATTAATTTTAAAAAACATACATAAATTTAAATGTTTAAATTGCATACTCCAAAATTTAAACATAAAATTTAAAATTTATTTTTTTTCTCGTTGACGTTTTTTTAATTTTATTAGTTGAATTTAATATATAAAATTATTAATAGTTAAATATATAATATTATTATATATTAAAAATAAATGTAACCGAATGCTCAAAAGTTATAGGTACCCCAAAAATTTTAGTTTTTTGATCCGAACCTGACCCGTAAAATGCCGGGCCGGGAACCCGATACGGAACTTGAATTTTTTAAAAAATTCTAATTTTTTAATTAAGTCGACGGATCTGGTATTTTTAAACACCGCTAGTTAGAACTATAAATCTGTAGTAAAATATAAGGAATGATATCATTGCGGGTAAAATACGGTAATAGTCCCTCAATTATAAGATATTTTTATTAAATTTTATGATTATAAAAAGTTAAAAATAATCTTCTGATTTAAAGAAAAATAACAAATTAATATGTTATCGTTAAAAAACTAGTGTAAATTATGTATTTAATGAATTAATCATTCTCGGAGTTTTTTTTTTGTTATCATACTTTTTTTTAAAATCATCACTAAACTAATATTTTCATTTCGTTTTGGTCACTTGTTAAAAAATTAATTATGGTATTTATGTGTTATCATAAGTTAATATCACATCATCACTGGAAAAAATAAAAAAAAATATCACGTCAGCAATTTTATTTATTTTTCAACAATAGGTTACCAAAACGAAACAAAAATATAAGTTTAGCAATGACTTTAAAAAATAGTTAAATTATTACTAGAACATGTGATAGTGACCTAAAACAAAAGCATGACAATAAATGTATGACTAAATATTTAATTTACCCAAAACTTATTACTAGATAATGTGATAGTGACCTAATAATAAATTATATCATTAATATTTACATTTTATATAAGTTAGTAAAAATTTTGAAAAAAGTAACCTCGATATTTTGAAATTATATTAATTTAATCCTTTTTCAATTCATTTTCTATGTCTTCCCTGCAGCTCCTGCATGCCAAGTCTCTTCGGTTTTTTTGACCCAATAGCACAAAAGCGTAAATTATTTGGGAAAATAAGGTAAGTGGAAGTTCATTTTGGGATATACGGCATTTTTTATTATGTTTATAGAACTCATCATGTCGAGGATGATGAATTCTAATAAAAAAATATTTTTTATTCAAAATTGTCACGTTAAGATAATGAATTTCAATAAAATATAATTTTTTATTACTTTTTATTATAATGGGGTAAAAAGTTTAAATAAAAAAAATATTTTTTTATTAAAATTCATCATCTCAACGTGACAAATTACAAGTCACTATAAAAAATATCATAAACCTCTAAATAAACTTCTAATATTGAACTAATTAATTAAACTCTTTGCCCTATTAGAGAAGAAACCAAACCTCTTCAACTTAACACAATTTTACCCTAATAAATAAAGGGAAAGAAAAATATGCAAAACCGATTTCCTTTTTACTAAATTAATTTCAAACAAAGAGACAGGAAATATTATTTTAAAATAAAAAGTCCACAACGTTGAGTGTTTGAGTCTTTCAGCTGAAATTCAAAGATGATTTAAATGAACATAAATAGAAGTCAATTTATTTATTTTTTTAAATTAATATTTAGATCATTGCAATTTGAGAAATTGGTAATTGACTGAACAAAGAAATATAATAATGAAAGCAAGTATTACGTTGGGTTGATAATTTATTAAGGACTAAATTTCTTATTATATAAAATTCACCGACTGTTATATCATCATTAGATAAATTTTTCCACACAACGATTAATTTGTTATTTGTTTAAGTGAAGTGATCTTTATAATTGAGAGATTCAATAAAACGACGCCTCTAAGTAATGGATTATTTACACATTTTACCCTATATTTTAAACACAATGAAGTAAATACATAAATTCTTGAATTTTTAAGTGCCTATAAAATCATTGATTGAATTTGACGTCCACTAAACATCGTTTCAATTGATAAAAGGAAAGCTTAAACAATAATATTTTGATGAAAATAAAATTAAACGTAAAGTAAAAATTAATTTTTAAAAAGATTGATATCATCTCTTTTTTTTTTTATTTTGTTTGTCAAACGATAACATCAATTTTAGTGTTGATTATCTGTATTTTTTATTTTTCAGTTATTTTCTTATATTGCATATTTATTGTTTTGTTTTTCTAATAATTATGTCTTTATTATATATTACGTTTTCTCTACCTATATTTAAAGTAATCTTCTTTAATTGATCAAACAATAAAATTTATCATTTTGTCTAATATATTTCAATAAGAAATATTGACACTCAAATAGTAACGGATTTGGATTAGTGACCTAACACATAATTACAAGGAATGAATGAAATAGATTTGCTCAAGCTTCAAGCAAATATTTATTCATTTGGTTGTTGCTAAAAGAATAAGATTTTAAAGTGCTTTTAATTTATCTTACATTCTAAGCAAAGTTTTATTTTTTTTTCAATTCAAAAATATTTATTAGGAATAGGATTTGGATGTTAGTATAAGATTTGATGTTTTAAAGTATTGGATGTTATTATTTTATCTATTGATACTATGACACAATTATTTAATGAGATTTGTTCATTCAATTCCGTTAATTTGAAATTTTTAATACAAGTTGAATTTATTTTAAAACAAAATACAAAACTATTTATTTTGACTTTCCTATCTAAATATCATCTAAAAAAATTATATTAAAGATGACCACTCATTTTTATTATTTTTTTGAATTAGTATTCTTTTATGCCATGCATGATAAACGTGGGTCAGCCAAAATTAGCCCAATAATCATGATGCAATAATTATTTAGGTTTTTAGGGTAATTTAAAAATCAATTATCAATCCACACATTTATTACAGTGAATTGGAACTCGTCATATGGGCATGACGAGTTCTAGTAAAATATATTTTCTATTGGAATTTGTTATCTCAGTGTGACAAATTATAATAAAAAAAATATTTTTTTCCAAAACTCCTCATGCCCACTGATGAGTTTGAATTAAAAAATATTTTTTAAAATTCATCACCTTCACATGACAAGTAAATGTCGTAAATCCAAAAAAAAACATTGAACTGCCCTGTTAGACTAAATAAATTATCTGGCTGGATTATTCTACTCATTTTTGCCGACATGTTACTTGAAAAAAAACTAGGAAGTATTTTTTTTATTGATGTGATTGAAGACAATCAGAATATTTAATTGTTGGTCTAAAATGAAAAAGAAAAAGAGGAACCAAAAATATGAAAAATTATACGAACTTTGTCCAAAAATAATAAATGCATGTGATGCATTATGTGTTGGACATGTATTTGTACAAGCATTAACCATGTCGAACAATAATGTAGGTGTGTTAATCTTATTTTCAATAACTCAATTAATTTAGGTTTAAAAAATTATATTTAAACATTAAAAAATCATATTTAAATAATGTAAGATTTGAGAAGCTTATAGCCAAACATGCTAATTTGATCAGATCAATATCATAAACTATGTCAATTGTTCTTTTATGAAGTACTCATGATTCTAGTATAAATAATTATCTTTAACTATCGTATTAACATTGGATTTGATTAAGTTCAGTATATGTCTTTGACAACTTAAAAATCAATATGTTTAACTATGAACTTTTCAAATATCACATTATAGAGACATGAGGTTTTTAAATGTTTAAATTTAACATTTCAAACATATACTTATTTAAGTGATTAAAGGTAAGATTAATACATGTATGTTGTCTTTGTTATCTGATTTATACTCATGTAAAAACGTGTCTTCGATACACATCAAGTACATTTATTTATTTATTTATAAAATTCATATAATTTTTTTATATTTTTAGTGTTATTTTTCTTTTTCTTTCGTTTTAAGTTAATACGGTCATGTAGCCAGAAGGCACGACTTGTAATGTTTGCTTTAGAAGATACTTTTAATGTGACACACCTTTGTCATACATCACATATAAGGAAGCAATTTAAAAAATAATTTAAAAATACTATTATTTTAAATATTAAATTTAAGATAATATTTGAATGCAAAAAGCCATTTATTTTATATCTTTGCCCGTTTTGATGCGATAATGATTTATGAATTTTAATTATAATATAACGGAATATTTGGTTTACTTATAAGA